TATAAGGTGTGCCGACCATAATGCGACAACAACACTGCAAGAGACGGTCAACGACCGATACCTATGTCGTGCGAAGTGTGCGTGGCCAGCCCGACGAACATACATACAAAAGGCCAATAAGTACGGGGAAGGAGAAGCAAACGGAAGACATCAGGGTGGAAAAAGAAGCACCTCTGCAGAAGCAGCGAGATGTTGGCGAGGTCCCGATTGGGATCTAAGTGGGACCCCATTGTGCTGCCCCCCAGCAGCCCTCGAGAAGGGGAGAAGTTTCACACTTCGCAGCCCCACAGGGATGGCGAAGTCCAGGTTGGATCTGCGTTGGGCGCGACTGTGCAGCCCCGCTCAGCAGCCCTCGAGACTGGCGACAGTTCCGCACTTCGCAGCCACAAAAGATAACGAAGCCCTGTTTGGGTCTGCGTGGGACCCCACTGTGCTGGCTCTCCAAGCAGCCCTCGAACGTGGCGACAGTTTCACACTTCGCAGCTCTCCAAGGATTGCGAGGTCCCGTTTGGGTCCGCGTGGGGCCCCACTGTGCGGGCTCCCACAACAGCGCTCGAACATGGCGACAATTTCGCAGCCATGGAGATGGCGAGGTCCCGTTTGGGTCTGCGTGTGACCCCACTGTGCGGGCTCCCCCAGCAGCCCTCGAACGTGGCGACAGTTTTACACTTCGCAGCCACCCAGGGATGGCGAGGTGCCGCTTGGGTTCGCAAGCTCCCCCAGCAGCCCTCGAACATGACGACAGTTTCACACTTCGCAGCCCCCCCAAGGATGGCGAGGTCCTGTTTGGTTCGCGTGGGACCCCACTGTGCTGCCCCCCGGAGCCCTCGAAAGTGGCGACAGTTTCACACTTCGCAGCCCCACATGGATGGTGAGGTCCCGTTTGGGACTGCGTGGGACCCCACTGTGCTGGCCCCCCCCCAGCAGCCCTCGAAAGTGGTGACAATTATACACTTCGCAGTCACCCGGGGATGATGAGGTTCCGTTTGGGTCTGCGTGGGGACCGACTGTGATGGCTCCCCCAGCAGCCCTCGAGAGTGGCGACAGTTTTACACTTCGCAGCCCCCCAGGGATGGCGAGGCTCCGTTTGGGTATGCGTTGGACCCTACTGTGCTGGCTCCCCCAGCAGCCCTCGAAAGTGGCGCCAGTTTCGCAATTCGCGGCCCCTCTGAGAAGACGAGGTGCCGTTTGGGTCCGCGTGGGGCCCGACTGAGATGGCCCCCCCGGCAGCCGTCGGACATGGCAGCGGTTTCACACTTCGCAGCCCCCCAGGGATGGCGTGGTGCCATTTGGGTCCGCGTGGGACCCCACTGTGCTGGCCCGCCCAGCAGCCTTCCACCTCGAGCCGCATCGCCGAGGCGATGCGGCGCGATCCTCTGACCCCATCTGCTCGGACCCCATCTGGGGGGCCTCTAAGGGAGGACCAGGCCCCGGGGCCGTCAAGAAACGCCCCGGGTCAGAAGCCGGCCGCGGGGAGAGGGTCGGGAAAGCTGGCGAGGTGCCGTTTGGGTCTGCGTGTGCTGGCTCCTCCCCAGCAGGCAGGCGAGAGGGGGACAGAGCTGGCCCCCCCAGCAGGCAGGTGCAACCGGGCGCAGGCAGGCGAGAGGGGGGCGGAGGGCGGGATGAGAAGGATCAGGGAGTTGGCGACCCCACTGCTCTATTCAATTACTCCGACGGAAGGACCCCGCATGAGAATCCTCTGGGCGAATCTGGAAAAAGCGCTCACCGTCGTCCTCGTGGTTGGTGAGGCGTCCTGACTGTCTCTTCTGCGTATATTTCTTCTCGCCCTGGCGCGGGCCCTCCCCCCGCTCCCTACGTTGCCCCCGACCTCGCCCTCCTGTTTTTTTCGCGCCCCGCCACCGCCTCGCCTTTCCATTGCACGAGCGCGCAGGTTTTCCTCGGCGCCGTCGCCGCCTCGGCCAGCACAGGCGCGTTCTCTAATGGCCACGTCGCGCAGCCGTTGGGACAACCCCGCGGGCCAGGCTGTCGGGACAACCCCGCGAGCCGCTTGCGCGCAAGACCAAGCCGTTGGGACAACCCCGCGGGCTTCGAGCGGGGCGCAGCCGCGCTCAGGCGGGCAGCACGAAGCCCAGCTCTGCCGCGAGCTGCTTCGCCTCCGCCCTGGACAAAACCGCTCTCTCGTCGAACTCCAGGAGCGCCTTCCGCAAGGACGCTGGCGGCCCTCGCTCCAGGAACTCCCGCGGCGGCGGCCGCAGGATCAGCATGTCCCGCATGCACGTGGCGCGGGAAAGCATGACGTAGAGGTGCAGCCGCCACTGCTCGTCAGACATGCCCGTGCGGCCAGCGTCCTCGTCTCTCGCGCAGTCGATGGTGACGCCCTTGCGCAGCGTCTGGCCCTGCGACAGCGTGGAGGTCGGGTAGGACGCGTGGGTCAGGGTGAACCCCGAGCGGCGCACGTTGTGCGGCCCCGAGCTCTGCCATGTGAACTTCTTTTCGCTGGGCCTGAACATCAGCAAACTCCGCGCCCGCGCCTCGGCCTGGCCGTCGTCGTCGGCGTCTTCGGCGCCCTGTCGCAGCACCTCGGCGACCTCCTGGTAGATCGGAGACTCCTTGAAGCCGTGCACCTGCAGCCAGATTCCCTGCGGTAGGAAGCGGGGGCGAAAGAGCTGGCCTGCCGAGCACTCCTCGTGCCGCTGCTCGTCCTCGTGGTGGAACTCGAAAGACACGATGGTGGCCCGTTGCTCCTGCACGAGCCCCAACTTCTTCTTCAGCTCTTCGTGCGCTGCCGTGAACCGCACCTCCATGCCGACGTGGGCCGGCAAGACGCCGTGGATGTCCCCCGTCTTGTGCATGTTCGGGACGTTCAGGAGGCGCCGACCCGCGTCGGATCGCCCTGAATCGTGCCGCACTCGTCAACGGCCTGCAGGAAAACGAGGGGCACGCCCAGACGCCGAGCGTCGCGACGAGCACGCGTGTTCATCCCTGAAGACCCTCCTCGGATTCGAAATTCACAAATGTGGCCCGGGAATGACGCTCTGGGAACACGACGAAAACAAAGTGGCCTACAGTTGGCTCCGGACATCCAGAATGTGGCCCGGGAGTGGTGTTCTGGGAATAGGAAGAACACGAAGTGGCCTACAGTTGGCTCCGGGGCTTCAAAATGTGGCCCGGGAATGGTGTTCTGGGAACACGAAGAACACGAAGTGGCCTACGGGTGGCTCCGGGCGTGCACAATGTGGCCCGGGAGTGGCGTTCTGGCAGCGCGAGAGCCCAAAAGTGACGACGGTTACAAGGTTTGGATGACCCGCTCGGATTACCAACATGATCTGCGGGCCCCATAGAGAGGGGGCTCCCGCCTGAGACTTCCTCACAATTCACTCACAGACGAGGCTCCCGCCTGATACTTCCTCCAAATTCAGGCCTGAAGAGCCCAAAAGTGACGACAGTTACAGGGTTTGGATGACCCGCTCGGATTACCAACATGAAGCGCGGGCCCCATAGGGAGGGGTTCCCGCCTGTGACTTCCTCGCAATTCACTCACAGACGAAGCTCCCGCCTGAGACTTCCTCCGTACTCAAGCTTGAGGAACCCAAAAGTGACGACAGTTACAGGGTTTGGATGACCCGCTCGGATTACCAACATGATCTGCGGGCCCCATAGGGAGGGGGCTCCCGCCTGAGACTTCCTCACAATTCACTCACAGACGAACTCCCGCCTGAGACTTCCTCCAGGTGAGTATGTGAATGAGTGAGCGTGTGACAGAGTGCGAGTGATGATGATGCTGCTGCTGATGATGATGATGAGTACGTGGGTGACTGAGCGTGTGAGAGAGCGCGAGTGATGATGCTGATGTTGATGATGAGAGTGTGAGTGAGCGTGAGTGTGAGTGAGTGGTGATGATGATGAGTGAGTGAGTGAGTGTGCGAAGGCAGAAGAGGACAGGGGGTGGGGTGAGTGTTCCTGCGCGGGGTGTGCAGAGAAAACAAGAACCCCACTTTGGATGTGGGGAAAAAGAGAACCCAACCAAGGGAGATTTGGACGAAAAACAGTGGGCCCACAAGGGCCACAAGGGCACAGAGTACACGCTAGACAGGCGGTGAAGTAGAGAGAGTGAGCCACAGCGAATCGAAACAGAGAAGTGACATACTGGCTCCTCGTCCTCCTCCGATGCTCCTGCCCCAGATATGCGATGTTTTTCTCCTTGTCACTGCACGGCGCCCGACTTCCTCCACGCTGGTCTCCCCGATGCATCGCAAATGTCATCCATGCATCGTGGATGTGCGCCGGCGATGGATCGGCCATGCGGCGCGATCCCCCGACCCTCGACGTCACGACTTTTGTTCATACCGTCGACCCCCCAAAAGGTCTCGACCCCATTCCCCGGGACCGGCTTTTCGTCCTGAGTCGTTGTGTTCACGGCCCCGAGGCCCTGCAAGGGCCCCCACCAGGCCGAGCACAGCGGAAAACCCCTCGCCGGGATTTGTTCACGACTCGAGGGTGCCTGGGTCCTCCGACCCCATCTGCTCGGACCCCATCTGGGAGGCTTGGAGATCCCTGCCCCCCCTGTGATGCGACGACGGCGCGAAAGAAATACAACATCGCGAAAGATCACCAACGGAGCCCTGAACCCAATCTTTCTGCGCAGTCTTCGAGCCGGATCGATCCGATTAGGGCCCTGGGCCCTAATCAAGGGGCGCCGACGGGGGAGCAGGAGGAGTAGGATGCTTCGGCCCCTGCTGCCAAAGAAGTGCATCGCGCAAGCGTGTGTGTGTGTAGGAGGAGGAGGAAGAGGAGGAGGAGGAGGAGGAGGAGGAGGAGGAGGAGGAGGAGGAGGGGAGGAGGAGAATGATGAAGGATGATGATGATGATGATGATGATGATGATGAGGATGAGGAGGATGAGGGAGGAGGAGGAGGAGGAGGAGGAGGAGGAGGGGGAAGAGAAGGAGGAGGAGGAGGAGGAGGTGGAGGAGGACGAAACCAACATTTCAACGTACGTCAGGATCTCAGGGAATGCCCCGGGAGCCCCGCTGCCCCCGCCTCGGCGTCGCACTGCGTCGCCGCGTCCGCGCAGGGCGGCCGCGGCAACCGCCGAACGCACGGGGCCCCTGGCTGCGCTCGGGCGTCGGGGGGGGGGGGGGGGGGGGGGCGGGGGCAGAAGCGCGATCCGGGCGTCGGGTCTGCGGGCAAGATTTATACAGTCGGACCTATACTATAGGCCATCATAGCACCCCTCAGAAATAGGAGACACAGAACATCCAAGGGTACCCTCCCCGGGGTGCACCAGAACACCCCACAAGCACGAAGAACACCAGGGTAGTGACCCTCCCCGAACCCGACCTCGACCTTACACCACGGCCCCACTGCATCCATGCCCACGACGTCTTGGACTTTCTGGGAAGGGGCGCCACAAGGCCGAGGCGCCGTGGAGATACATAAACTTCGGTCGGAAGAAGTAGATCGAAACATCAAGTATGAAGGCGTTGAGAGTAGATTGGGTGTCCGCCCACCCCCTTGGGAGGGCGGCGTAGGTGATGCCACTCGATCATTGAAGTAGAAAGGCGCTTCAAGTATGTTGGAATCTGGGAACCCAGAAACACCTACTTTCAACGACCGATGGGCAAACATCTGCCTCTTTGGGGGGCAGGCTCTTGACCATGTCCCCTGCGCCTCGCGTGTCTGGTGGAAGGGCCCAGAAGCTCCAAGCTGCGGCGGACATAGATCTGCATCTTGCCCGCAGGGGTCGGGCGAGCCCAGCCTTAGATCGGGCATGCCCCCCTGCAGGCGGATTTGGACCAAACATCAAAAATACTTAAACCATAATCCAAAAGAGTTCACGATAATCGAAAGATCACGGAAAACAGTTCCCGGACTATCTTTGGACTGCTTGAGAGGGTCTGGGTCCGCCTTCTCCTCCTCCTCCTCCTCCTCCTCCTCCTCCTCCACTTTCTCCTCCTTATCTTCCTTCTGCTGCTCCTCCTTCTGCTGCTCCTCCTCCTCCTCCGCCTCCTGGGTCCTCCTCCTCCTCCTCCGCCTCCTCCTCATCCGCAGCCCCCCGACGTCAGAATCGTTCCATACCGTCGACCCACCAAGGTTTCGACCCATTCGCCGCTCGACCCATCCCTCGGGACCAGCTTTTCATCCTGCACTGTTTTTGAAGTTCCCGGGGCCTGGCGAGGGCCCCCAGAGGCAGAGAATCGCAAAGAGCCTTCCGTCGTGCTTTTTGTCACGACGCGAGGGGCTCTGGGTCCTCCTCATCTTCCTCCTCCTCCTCCTCCTCCGCCTTTTCCTCCTCCTCCTCCTCCTCCTCCTCATCCGCCTCTTCTCTTCCTCCTCCTCTCCTCCTCCTCCGCCTCCTCCTCCTCTCCTCCTCCTCTCCTCCTCCTCCTCCTCCCTCCTCCTCCTCCTCCCTCCTCCTCCTCCTCCTCCTCTCCTCCTCTCCTCCTCCTCCTCCTCCTCCTCCTCCTCCTCTCCTCCTCCTCCTCCCCTCCTCCTCCTCCTCCTCCTCTCCTCCTCTCCTCCTCCTCCTCCCTCCTCCTCCTCCTCCTCCTCCTCCTCCTCCCTCCTCCTCCTCCTCCTCCTCCTCCTCCTCCTCCGCTCCTCCTCCTCCTCCTCCTCCTCCTCCTCCTCCTCCTCCTCCTCCTCCTCCTCCTCCTCCTCCTCCTCCTCCCTCCTCCTCCTCCTCCCCCTGGGGGTGTGCAGACATGCCTTTCCGCCCGCCCCTGGCGGCCTTCCGCTCGGCCGCACTCGCGCAGGATCCCCGCCCTGGCGCCGGCCGCCACGCCCGCGGTCCCGGCGCAGGCTGCCTCCCGTCGAGGGGGTGGGGGGGAAGCGATGTCGGCGACGATGGTGGCCGTGGCGGTTATGGTGACGGTGGCGATGGTGATGTCGGGGGTGGTGTTGACGGCGGCGGTGGTCATGGTGGTGGCGGTGGAGGTGCTAATAGCGGTGGTGCTGGTGGTGGTAGTGGTTGTGGTGGCGGTGGCGGTGGTGATGGTGGCTGTGGCTGTGGTGGTGGTGGTGGTGGCGGTGGTGGTGGTGGCGGCATTGGCGGTGGTGATGGTGGCGGTGGTAGCGGTAGTGGTTATGGGTTCGATCGTGGCGGTAGTGGCGGTGGTGGTGATGGCGGGGGTGGTGATGGGATGATGGTGGTGGGTGTGGGTGAGGATGGTGAGAATGCGGATGATGCTGGAGAGGGGGGGAGGAGGAGGAGGAGGAGGAGGAGGAGGAGGAGGAGGAGGAGGAGAGAGGAGGAGGAGGAGGAGGAAGAGGAAGAGGCGGAGGATGTTGAGGAGGCGGAGGAGGAGGAGGAGGAGGAGGACGAGGGGGGAAGGAAGAGGGAGTAAAAGGGAGAGGATGAGAATGTGGAGGAGGAGGAGGAGGAGGAGGCTCGACGAGCTGGAGCAGGAGGAGGAGAGCATGGAGAACTCAACCGGGAACGCAGCCGATGTTGTCTCGGGCATCTCGGAACCCTCGACCCTCGCAGGCGCTGATCGCGACGTCGCTGGCACGGCGCCGAGATTGGCCTCCGGGGACAAGCCGCACGCCTCTGGGACAGAGGACGAAATTCGAGGAAGGAGGAGCGAGGAGGCGAGGTCCCAGTGTGATGATGCCAACGGGGCCACGCAAACTGGCCTCACGAGAGACCTGATCGGACAAGAAGGGGGTAAACGCCGATGATGTCCCTTGGGCTCGCAGGGGAAGAAGAATACAGTGATGGTGGCGACGACGAGGTGGCGGAGGACGAGGATGACCGCGCGGGTGACGGGGAGGGCAGCGAGGACAGCGGGAGGACAACGTGTAGGGAGACAAAGCGCGAGGACGAGGAAGGCATTGAGGAGGACGAGCATGGGAGGAACGGGGCGGAGCTGGCCTTACGACGAGGAATCCGCCGCCGCGCCTCGAGGGGCACGACTTCGGGCGCCCGCAGGAGAGTCCCTTAGGGCCCTCTGTGTTGGAAGCATACACATGCTCGCGCTGGCAAGTGTGGTTGATGCTGTTGATGATGATGATGATGATGCTGATGATGATGATTATGATGATGATGACGATGATGATGATGGTGATGATGATGTGGTTGATAATGAGGATCATCCTCCTCCTCCTCATCATCACCATCACGGTCAGATAATCAAATGCGTGCTCTGCAGACATATGGTCTAAAGCTTGCGCCGCGCCGCGGGGCTTGAAAATTATGATCGATTCGGAAGCGCGCGGCCGTCCGCGCTGCCTTCCTGGCCAGGTTCCGGTGCATGAGTCCGTTGTGGTATCTTGGCCCGTGTGGCTTTGTTCGTTTACTCGGACGATTTCCTGAGTGATGAGCACTTCGGCTGATATCTTGCGTGACGGCTTCATGCTACATTCTCCTACTCTGCCGCTTTCTCCCACCCTCCTCATTCGGCATCGGCGCCACGATGGTCGCCAAACTCTTCCCTGGCTTAGGAGCGTCGAGGTTTCCGCGCGCGCGCGCCAGCAGCATCGCAGGCGAAATGCCGCCTCGCACGCCCTCGCCTCCCCCCTGCCTGTCCTGCTCCTCCCTGCCCGCCGGCTCCCCCGTCCTGCTCACCGGGGCCGGGGCGCCAGATGGAGCCCAGGAGTCGGTGCACTCTGGCCGGACCCCGCCCCCCCTCCGCCACTCCGTGCGTGCGTGGCGAACACACAGGCGCTGCTCCTGTGTAGGAAGGCACCAACTATACACCAACACCGATCCTGGCCAGGATCACCCTGGGCCCAGGATCGGTGTATACGCCCTCCTGCCTTGCGCAAGAAGGCATATACACCGATCCTGGGCCCAGGGTGATTCTGGGCCAGGATCGGTGTTGGTGTATAGTTGGTGCCCTCCGACTGTGGGCCCCTTGGACACGTTCCCGTTCTCTCTTCGGGGGGCGCACCTCCCAGCGTGTCTCGGGCGCTGCCAGGGTTTCTCTCGCGTTCTCGCTTCGGTTTTCCTCGGGGCCCGGAAGGCACTGAAACGGGCCCAGACGGCCCAAGGAGGGCCCAAAGACGGTCCACGATGGGCCCAGATCGCCCCAAGATCGCTCCAAGACGCCCAAGATGGCTTCCAGACGGCCCAAGAAGAGGGGCCCAAGGCGCCCAAAGGGGGCACCAAAAAAACTCCCCCAAAGAACCCCGAGCGGGATCCGCAAACTGCCAAAAGCATCAGCCTCAATCTCTTCGAAATGTCTAGGGGGCCACATGCGAACCCTACCCCTACCCCCCACGATTTCTGAGGGGGAGGGTGGGGTTCACTTCGTTCGGGAGCTCTCGAGCGAAGTGAACCCCACCCTCCCCCTCAGAAGTCGTGGGGGGTAGGGGTGGAGCTCGCATGTGGCCCCCTAATGTCGCCCCCCCCCCTCCCCATCCGCCACCCCAAGAGAACCCGCGGGCCGAAAAGTGGCTCCAGACCCTCTGCCTCGCCATCATTCCGACGTGGCACCGATGGCCCCGATGACGAGTTCCGAAGCCTTCTTCGCCCCCTTCCTCGCCGTGCTCATCGTCGTCCTCATTGTTCCCCTCCTCCTCGCTGGCATAGAACCCAGAGATCCGATGACGTGATTTTTTCTATGCGGGGTCCCCAGAAGTCTCGACCCATTCCCCAGGACCGGTTTTTCATCCTGAGTCGTTTTCTGACGGTCCAGAGGCCCGGCGAGGGCCCCTCGGGGCCGAAATTTGAGAAACACCTCCTCTTGATTTTGTCCATGCACTGGATCTCTGGGAATGTATCTGCACGTTCTACGGCCTTCTGGGCTGCTGAAGAGCACGCCGCTCTGCACCCCGGGCCACTCCCGAGCGCCAGCGGCAGGGCGAGCAGCTGCAACCGACGCTGTGCCGCCCTGGTACCGCTCCAGCTGGCTGTCTCGACATTCCCGGGGCGTCCAGGTACCCGGCGCCCCCCCCCATCATCATCATCATCATCATCATCATCATCATCATCATCATCATCATCATCATCATCACCATCATCATCATCATCATCATCATCATCATCATCATCATCATCATCACCATCATCATCATCATCATCGTCATCATCATCATCATCAGCATCAGCATCATCATCATCATCATCACCATCATCATCATCATCATCATCATCACCATCATCATCATCATCGTCATCATCATCATCATCATCATCATCATCACCATCATCATCATCATCATCATCGTCATCATCATCATCATCATCAGCATCAGCATCATCATCATCATCATCATCACCAACATCACCGCCACCCACACCACCATTACCATCATCATCATCATCATCACCACCATCACCACCATCATCTGCATCATCGTCACCACCACCCCCATCACCAGCATCATCATCATCACCATCATCATCAGCATCATCATCATCACCATCATCATCATCGTCATCATCATCCTGATCATCATCAACGCCACCACCGTCATCATCATCATTACCACCATCTACATCATCTCCGTCATCAGCATCATCACCACCATCATTCTTATCACTTCAATTAATGTCATCATCGTCATCATAATCATCATTTCCATCGGCATCATCATCATCATCATCATGAGCATCAGCATCATCATAATAATGATGCTAAATGCTGATAATCACCATCATCGTCAGGGTCCTCGTTGTCGTCATCGTCATCATCATAACTACCATCATCATCACCATCTTCTCCATCATCACTATCAGCGGCAACAGCATCATCATCATCATCATCATCATCACCACCTCGTCGTCGTCATCATCATCACCATCACCACCATCATCATCGTCATCATCAGCATCAATCCCTCCCTTGTCATCATCGTCATTGTCGTCATCGTCATCACCATCACCATCACAATCATCATCAGCGTCATCACCATCGTCATCATCAGCAACGTCGTACCATCATGCTCATCATCAGCTTCGGAATCATGTCGTCATCATCATCAGCACCATCATCATCGTCGTCGTCATCGTCATCACCACCATGATCATACTCATAACCATCACCATCATAATCAGCATCATCTTCATCAACACCATTTCGTCGTCGTCATCAGCAGCACCACCATCAGCACCAACCATTTCATTATCATCATCAACATCATCGTCATCATTACCAGCATCACCATCATCATCACTCACTATCGCCGTCGTCGTCGACGTGTTCGTAGTCACCATCACCATCACCATCACGAGCACCATCGTCATCACCACCATCACAATCACCATCATCATCAGCATCATCATGCTCATCATCATAATCGTCATCATCTCGTCGTCGTCGTCGTCCTCGTCATCATAATCATCAGCACCATCACCATCACCATCATCATCATCGTCATGATCACCATCATCACCATCATGACACTATCATATTCACCGCCATAATCATCAACATCTTCATTGTCTCCATCATCAGCATCTCGTCGGCGTCATCAGCTGCATCATCATCACCACCAAAGCAATCATCATCATCATCATCATCGCCATCACCAGCATCATCATGATCAGCATCACCATTCAGATTATTATTTTCGTCATCACCATCAGTATCATCTTTATCATCATCAGCATCATCACCAGCCTCGTCGTCGTCGTCGCCGTGATCGTCACAACCAGTAAGCACCATCGCCATCGTGAACACCATCGCTTCCACCACCATCATCACCATCACCGTCACCATCACCACCTCTTCGCTCTGGCGGCACCGCGGCCTTTGGCGGGCCCTCGGGCGCGGGCGGCGGGCAGGGCTGCGGCCGTGCGGCCGCGGGGCCTGGCACGCCGCGCCGCGGAAGCGGGGGGGCGGGGCGGGGAGGTTCGGGAAGGCTGCTTTTCTCGCTTGTTTTAAATGCATGCGCTTCTCGATTTGTGCGTGTCATTCTTGCGCAGGGGCCATGCTAAGCTTCTCTGCATCGTTCCAATTTGAACGGATGATCCCCGAAGGGGATCCGAGGTTCGGGAAGGCTGCTTGCCCTTCTCGGCCTCTGGGGTCCGTGCTCTGGCCCCCCGGGCCCTCAAAGACAGATCCGGGGTGAAAAACTGCACCGGGTGGGCCCCCGGGGCCGAGGTGGAGACGGGGCAGAGCGGACCGTTTGGGAGGCGGAGTCAGGACGAGTACAAATCCGGGTGGGGACAAGTCGAGGGGTCGGCGGAGGTCTGGGGGAGGGCAGGGCGGAGTGGGCTCTGGAGCGCGCCTCGCCGATCGTGGCGTGCGGCGCAGCAGCAAAGGCCAGCGCACGTGGCCCCCCACCACCGGCCCCTCCGAGGATCAGGGAGCACCACCTCCACCGGCCCCTCCGAGGATCAGGGAGCAGCCCTGCTGAAATCCCCAGGCCAAGACGAAGCCAGGACGAGGAGAAGTCGAATCTCGAAGATCCCGGGGCTCTGGATGATGTCTCGGGCGCCGCGGCCTTCCCAGAGCGTTCCGGAACGCTGTGAGAGCGTTTCGGAACGCTCTGGAACGGATTCGTCCTCGTCCTGGCCCCGTCCGACGCTCCCCCATGGGGGCGGGGAGGCAGGGAGAAAGAGCGGCCTGTGGGGAGGCGAAGTGTCGCCTGCCCCAGCGGTGGGCCTGGCCGGAGGCCTCCGCGCAGCTTCCAGAGCAGGATGGTGAGCTTCAAAACAAGACGTTCGTACTTCTGCCCAACGTTTGCGCTGCCCTCCGACGCGCCTCCCAGCGATGACGTGGAAACAGGAGGTCATGATTTGCTTCATTCTGGGTAGCGGTAACGGCGGCCGCGGCGTGCACCCCCCAAGCCCCAAGGCGCGCTCGCAGCACCGGCCGGCGCAACAATCGCCTCTGTGCACCATCACAGTTCCTTTGTACACGACAGCCCCTGCGTGCACAACAGCGCCTGTGTACGCCACAATCCCGACTAGGCCCAAACTCCAGAAACGCGTGGTGGGACCGATCGTCTCAGATCCAATCTGCAAATTATTTGTGATTGTTGATTCCCTGGCCCGTGATACTGTCCACCATGTATTTAGGCTCGACTTACCTGCATGCGCCACAGCGCCTGTACAGCATGATGCCTGCGTATCCACAACAACAGTGTGCACCACAGCGCCTAGCGATTGCGACCACCACGATGCTTGTGTACACCACAAAGACTGTGTACACCCCACATGGGCCCGACGGGTCCCAAACGCTGAAAAATGATGGTACGCCCGAACCCAACACATTCAACATGTGAGTTACTTGAGATTAGACATTGATGTTTCTGGCCTGGGGCACGGCCCGCCCTGTACTATGGCAGCGCCTTCGTGCACCACGACGTCAACACGAGGCTTGTGCCACCACAGCAGCCGTGAAAACCACAACCCCGCGCGCCTGCTCTGACCACAATGCTTGTGCACACGCCTTGTGCACACGCCTGTGTACACCAGAAAGCGCGTGTGCACGTCCAAGGTCCCGACGGGGAGCATCAATTCTAGAACATCGTAGCGTGTCCACAAACGTATCACATGCAACGTGTAAGTTATTTGTGATGATTGCTATTTTCTGGTCAGGGATAATGTCCACCGCAATGCTTTCGTGCACCACGGCGTCGGCGGACAACCCGATGAATACGCAACCACAGCACCACTGTGCACCTCGTCCTCTTCCTCCTCCTCCTCCTCCTCCTGCTTTCTGCTCCTGCTCATGCTCTTCCTCCTCCTCCTCCTCCTCCCATTTCAGTGGATGGCTCATACGGGTCCTGTTGGGATCCGTAAGAGCTGCATGTGGGCCCCTAGAAAGTCCAATGGAAGCTGCAAATCTTCACACCTGTGTCCGGCTTCCAGGCGCTAGAATTACGAGGGTGTTTTGGGGCTGGGGCGGCGGTAACACGCTCTTTTCGCGGAGGCAGCAAAAGATCAATCTCCAGCGGATCCAGTCAATTGAGCGCAGAGTCCAGCGCCTATCACTCGCAACACCCACTTTGCCGGCTAACGTCCACGTGGACTTCCAGCTCAGTCATCTAAGCCGCTGCGATCTGCAAGGAAGAGGGAGGGAGAGAGGGAGGGAGGGAGGGAGGGAAGGTCGTCGTCGAACGGCGACGTGGCTGAGGTCAGCGTGCTCGAGACTCTGGGGCCCGGTAGCGCGAGGAAAAACACTTCCGCCACCGGCCAACCCACATCCCGATTGCTGTTTTGGGGGGGGGACAGGGAGCGCGCGAAGCACCAGCCAGAAACCACTCGCCGTCAGCTACCTGCAGCACCACCGGCGGACAAATCCTGCCTCCCCTGTGGACTGCAGGGGCAAAAACAAATGGCACGGACTCGGTGCGCGGGCGATCTTCTGCCATTGCTCAGGAGAACACTCTCCCCACAAAACGTGGCTCTTTCCCCGCCGCGGGGGGGGGAGAGAAGCCGAGAGAGAGGAGGACGGGCAGAGCAGGAGGAGGAGGGGGCAAAACGGGGGAAACACCCAACGAGCGCCGCGTCAGCTTCAGAATGCCAGCGTGCGTGCAGCTTCAAGGCCAGCTCCTCCCCACACCCCGAAAAGGGTGCAAGGGGAGGAGAGGAGAGAGAGTAGAGGAGGGTGGGCAAGGCTATAGGCGAGGAGATCGCTCCAGGCCTGCCTCGCGCAACGCAGCCTCGAGGGGAGGACCGCGGCGGGAGTGCCCCCCCCCCCCCCCCCTTCGCGCCGTGAAGAAGCCGCGACGGCAGGCTTCTGGCGATGCTCGGCTCCCCCAGGGGCCCTCACTGGGCCTCGAGGCCGCGGGGCCTGGGCAGAGTGCCGCGGCGTGGGGGGGGAGCGGAGGGCCCCCGCTTTTTCACGTTAGGAGCAGGCAGCATCGGATGGGCACACGGTGATGGCATTGGACATGGAAACCTTCGAGGAGGAATCCAGGGTCTGGAAGCCAGTGGAAGGCCAATCGTGGCTTGGACATGAACATCACCGACGTTTTCATCAGATAACGAACCCTCCAGGTTTTGAAGCCTCCTTCCTGGGCAAGTTCCTGTAAACGAACGCCCCCACCGCATCGGGAATAGCTCCTCCTCCTCCTCCTTCTCCTCCTCCTCCTTCTCCTCCTCCCCCTCCTCCTCCTCCTCCTCCTCCTCCTCCTCCTCCTTCCCCCCCCCTCCTCCTCCTCCTCCTCCCTCTTCCCTCTTCCCTCATTTCCGTGCTTCCGCTCGTTTCGAATCGTGCTCCCGCTGCAGCGCTGGCCTCATTGCCGCGCTTCCGCTCGTTCCGAATCGTGCTCCCGCTGAAGCGCTGGCGTCATTTCCCGTGCCATGCCACGGCATGCAATGCAATGCAAGGTTGCGTTCCGCTGCGCGATGCCATTCCTTCAGCTGAAGCTGTGATATGCAACGCTTAAGTGCCACGTCGTGCTATGCCATGCTACGCTTTGGTCTTCAACGCCACGCCATGTCATGTTACGTTCGGGGCCGCTGTGCGATGCCATGTTTTGCGTTGTAAAGCTTTGTGATGCAATTCTTCACTACGCCACGCCACGCCATGCTGTGACATGCTACGCTTTGCGGTGCTCTTCTACGCCATGCCATGCCGTGCTCTACAATGCATCGCGTACCCTTTCGGGATCATTGCCCTGCTCGACATCCGACTGTGCGAGTAGAGAGGGGATCTACGCCATGGTAAGGGATGGGAGGGAGGGGTAGGATGTCAGATATGACGCGAGCGCACCTAGCTTGTCCCTCCCCCTCCTCCTCCTCCTCCTCCTCCTCCTCCTCCTCCTCCTCCGCCTCCTACCCCTCCTCACTCCTCCTCCTCCTCCTCCTCCTCCTCCCTCCTCCTCCTCCTCCGTCTCCTCCTCCGTCTCCTCCTCCGTCTCCTCCTCCGCCTCCTCTCCTCCTCCCCTCCTCCTCCTCCTCGTCCTCCTCCTCCACCTCCTCCTCCTCCTCCCCTCCTCCTCCTCCTCCGCCTCCCCCTCCCCGCCTTCCTCCTCCTCCTCCTTCCCTGCTGCTTCTCCTCCTTCTCCTCCGCCCTCCGCCTCCGCCCCCTCCTCCCCCCCTCCGCCCTCCGCCCTCCGCCCTCCTCCTCCTCCTCCTCCTCCTCCTCCTCCTCCTGCTCCCAGATCTTTCTCCTCTTCCTGAGGAGAGGCCAGGCTGGGCGGGGGGGCGGCAGGCCAGCCAGGCGGCGGCGGCACCGCAGCCGGCGGCGGCGCCCAGCGGGCCAGTTGGCTGGGCGCCTCCCTGGGGTGCGTCCGCGAAGGCGGCGGCCGCATGGCAGCTCCTGGGGCGGGCGGGCGCAATCTCGGGGTGCGCGCGGCTGCGCCCGTCCCAGAGCCACTCGGAACATGAACGAAGCAACGGAACATTTGTTCATTAGTTGCGGCCTCTCGGGGCCTTTGCCGGGCCTCGGGGTCATAAGAAAACGACTCAGGATGAAGAACCGGTCTCGGAGAATGGGTCGAGAGCTCTGGGGGTCCACGTCATGAACAAATCATGACGTCGGGGGTCGGTGGTCAGCGCCCAGGCGTGCGATAGGATGGGGCGGGGTGGGAGAAGGGTTCGGAATGCGCGCGGCTGGGGGAGGGGGCCAGCGCCAGGCAGCGCCAAAGCGTGCAACACGAGGGGGGCTCGAGCTGGCTCGGATCGCCACCCGGCTTTGCAGCTGCGCACGGCCCTCTTGCTGGACGCACCCTGGAGTGCCTGGGCCGCAGTACTCCCCCTGAAGATCGACGCGGTCGGCGGTGGCCCTCCCCCAGTCCCTCCCTCTCTCGGAGGCGGCAAAGAGGGGGGTGCCCAAGAGGGGGGGGCGCAAACCATGGCCAGCGGCATGTGCGCGGCCCAAGGAAGGGGCCAGGGACGCATTGAAACAAGAAGAGGCGCCATGACGTCTGGGGAGATGTCCTGGCCCCCACCATGATACCCCCCCATCCCCCCCCCGCCTTCTTCGCCCCCGACTCTCTCTTCGCGGCCGCCCTGCCTTTTCTGTTCCCCCCCCTCGCGCGGTGCTCCACGAGCCGCTCCGCGCCCCTGGAGCTGCCCCGCCCGATCTGCGCTTTCGCCGGGCCCGCGTGACGAACGAGTGCAATGGGCGGGGGAAGAACGTGGAGGAGGGGAGGAGGGGGAGGCGGAGGAGCAGGAGGGGGAGGCGGAGGAGGAGGAGGAGGAGGAGGAGGAGGAAGACCAGTGTAAACCCAAGGGCCATCAACGATGTTGGAATACACCCTTCCTCTAAGCCCCCTGTTCATCGGTCCCTACAGCGGTTCATCTCCACTGAGGGAACTGCCTCGTTGGAAGACAACCGGTTGAAGACCCAGAAGCATGCCAAAACATTGTCCTCGGGATTCCAACACCACGGATCAACCTGACTGTTGAGTCTTGACGATCCTGTTTCGTGCCTGAACGCCATTCCTGGGACCTCAACATTGTGAATCAACGTAGCTGTTGCACCCTCATAATCCTGAATCCTTCCAACACACAATGTCTGGAACGCTGATCGTGGGAATCCGTGAAACTCTTGCAATGGTTAAAACATGAATGCGCGCGGCGACAGGGCGAGAGCCACATTTTGAAATGGAGCTGCCCAGAATCCGTGAAACTCTTGCATATGTTTAAAACGAATACGCGCGGCGCTAAGGGCAGCACCGCAGGTTGAAAACGGCCCGCCCTCAATCCGTGAAGCTCTCGCAAATGTTTACAAAAAGGGTGCGCGGCGCTAAGGCACCCTCCATCTGTGAAGCTGCTGCCAAGCTTACACTTCGGGGTCTTAAAATGGTGAGGAAGTCTCACGCGGAACGCCCGGCCCGCCCTCAAAACTGGCCTCGGGGTGCGACAGGGAGAATTAAATGATAAGGATAAGGAATGGAGGGATGAGGAGGGATGAGCAGGGAGGAGGGAGGAGGAGGGAGAAGGAGGGAGGAGGAGGGCGAAGGAGGGAGGAGGAGGAGGAGGAGGAGGAGGAGGAGGAGGAGGAGGAGGAGGAGGAGGACGAGGAGGAGGTGTGGACGTCATTCTCCGCAAGGGAGATGATGAGGAGGTGACGCAGTTTGTGAAGATGATGCTGATTAGAATGACAGCGATGAAGATGGTAGTTCTGATGAGTCGGTTGATGAAGACGATTGTAGTGATGCTGATCACGATGAGGATGATGGCGACGCGGAGGATGCTGGACAGGATGATCATACAGAGCAGAATGGAGAGGCCCATGATGAGGAAGATGCAGTCGTCGTCGTCGTCGTCGTCGTCGTCGTCGTCGTCCTCCGCGTCGTCGTTGTCGTCCGCGTCGTCGTCCGCGTCGTCGTAGTCGTCCGCGTCGTCGTCCGCGTCGTCGACGGCAGCGGCTCGTCGTCGTCGTCGTCGTCGTCGTTGTCGTCTCCCTCATTGTTTGCGTTCTCACCCTGGTTGAGTGCATGCGTGCGAGTGCGTGGCGTGCGCGAATACGTGCACACAACTGCCACGCACATCGTCGATTAGTATATGCCTACGGGCGCGATTCTTCAGCCCCCGTGAGCGCTTCTTTAGCTCACACGAGTGTTGAATCCCTGGTGCCATACCAAGCGGCAGGATGAGAAGGACAGGAGGGAAAGGAGGGGAAGGAGGAGGAGGATGACGAGGAGGAGGAGGAGGGAGAAACGGAGGAGGAGCAGGAGGAGCACGAGAAGGATGGCCGCGTGCGACGCGCCCCATGGCCGAGAGATAGAGAGAGAGAGAGAGAGAGAACGAGAAAGAGAGAGAGAGAGAGCAACAAAAAAAAGAAAGAGAAACCAGGAGGAGGAGGAGGAGGTCTGCCGTGGCCGTGCCCCCGTCCGTGGGCACCGCCGCCGGGCGCGGCGCGCGGCTCCTGCCGGCCCGCGCGAGGGGGCACCCGCCTGTGCGCGGGGGGGCCGCGGGAGCGGCGCCGCCGCCGCCCGCCGCCGCCGCTCGCCGCCGCCGCTCCCGGGGGAGCCCCACCGCCCCGACGACGAGGACGAGGACGTTGGCGGCGGCGATTGACCACGAGGATCCTCCTCCTCCTCCTCCTCCTCCTCCTCCTCCTCCTCCTCCTCCTCTCCTCCTCCTCCTCCTCCTCCTCCTCCTCCTCTCCTCCTCCCTCCTCCTTCCTCCTCCTCCTCCTCCTCTTCCCCCGTCCGCTCCGCCTCCTCCTCCTCCTCCCACCGTCCGCCCTCCGCCTCCTCCTCCACCGTGCGACGTCCCCTTCCTCCTCCGCCTCCTCCGCCTCCTCCTGCTCCTCTTCTCTTCACGCTGCGCGGGCTCTACACTGTGCTTGTGGCGTTCCTCTTCCTCCTCCTCCTGCTCCTCCTCCGCCTCTTCCTCATCCTCGTCCTCCTGAATGCATGCCTGATGGCGAGAAGGCCATCCTGACGTAGCGGTCTCCTCCGCCTCCTCCTCCCCCATCCTCCTCCTCCTCTTCCTCCTGCTCTTTCTGTTCCTCCTCCTCCTCCTCCTGCTCCTCCTCCTCCTCGTCCTCCTCCTCCTCCTCCTCCTCCCGTCGACGCACTGTAGCACCGCACGGCCCAAGAGCAAGATCGATCGAGGGGTCCTCCTCCTCCGCCGTCCGCCGCCCGTCTTCTTCTCCGCCTCCTCTCGGCACTGGAGAAGGAGAGGGCTCAAGCGGCCAGCAAGCCGCAGCAGGGGGAGGGCGGTCCCCGCGTCCCTCTGCCGGCGTCTGGAGATCGCGTCGGGCACCAACGATGTTGCAAAAACCATTCCTCCAAACTCCCTCTTCATGGGCCCGTGCAAGAATGTATGTTCTTTGTGGGAAGCGGCTCATTAGAAGCCGAGCGTCTGATAACCCACAATCGCGTCGAAGCAGAACTCGGAGTTCAACGCCACTGATTAAGGAGACTGTTGCGTCACGGCAACCCACAATCGTGCCAACACACACAATCTTTGGGACTTCAACACCACGCATCAACTTGCTTGTTGCGTCCTGACAATCCCAGATCGTGCCAGAACACCGTTCCTGCAAGACGAATGTGCGAGGAGCTCGGGCGAGAACCATCGTTTGAAAACCATCCACCCTCCAGTATTGAATACTGACGAATGTTCGCGGCGAAAAGGCGAACGCCATATTTGGAAAAACAGTCGCCCTCCATCCTTGAACCTGGCCTAACATTTTAAATCGAATACGGCGCTACGGCCAGAGCCACAAGTTGAACAACACAATGCGAGAACCGTAGTTTGAATACAACCCGCTCTCCATCCATGAAACCGATGCACATTTCAATATTCAGGATCGTGCATGTTGAGAAAGTCTCAGGCGAAACGCCCGGCCTGCCCAACTGACACGTCTGGGGGCGCGACAGGGAGAATTTACTTATAAGGAAAAGGGGCGGACGGGGCGGGCCACCTGGCCGCGTTGCTGGGCCCGCCGACCTTGCTGGGCAAGCGGTCCCGCGGAAGCAGCACCGCCTCTCGTTCACATCTTCCCTCAAGCCATCTCTCCCTCCCTCCTCCCCTCCCTCCCTCCCCGCTCCTCCTTCTGACCATCCTCCTCCTCCTCCGCCTCCTCACCCTCCTCCTCCTGCTCCACCTTCTCATCCTCCCTCTCCGTTCCTTTCTTGCTCGGCGCCTTGGGCGGTTCAGGAGCGGCTGCGGCCGCGCGCGGTCGCGCCAGGAACCGATATGCCTCCTTTTGTACCTCGTTTCCTAATGCAGTCAAGCTGCTGCAATAAGGATCGCTAACCAAGGAACGAACCCCCCATTTGGCACCCAAGCGAGTCTGGGCGCACGAGGGGGACTAGAGGAACACCCACGGAATGACCTAAGGAACATCGGAGTCCATTCCAAACCCCAAGCGGTCCTTATTGCAGCGTCTTCACTGTAGATCTGCCACCGTGCCTTCAGCACGAGTGGAGTGCCCCGAAAAAGCTCATAAAGTGCTGCAAGGTCGACGGACTCAAAGGTTCTGCAGGGCCTGGGCTCCAGACTTTCCAGAATTTCCAAAGCAAAGTTTTCTCGGTTGTGGCTGGTGAGCTTCCCCCCCCCAAGGACTCGAGGAGGCCCACGAGGGTCCCAACAAGACTTCTAAGATAGGCCACAAGAGTCCCGAGACGGCCCAGGAGCGCTCCAAGACGCCCAAGATGGCCCCCAAGATGGCCGAAGAGATCCCTAAGCGCACTCCCAAGAGGCCCCAAGAGTCAACAATTACTGATCCCCCGATGCTGTTTCAATGATTTGAGCGTTCTCGCCTTTTTGGCGCCTCGATGCTCCAAGATGCCCCCTAGAGGGCTCCAAGACGGCCTAAGAAGCCTGCAAGACGGCCCCAGAAGACCCCACGAGGGAGCCCAGGGGGCCCAAGAGGGGCAGCACGAACCTACACTTTGCGCCCTCGGCCCCGAGACAGTAGGCCCCACGAGGCCCCCGAGAGGACATCTGCCGACCCTTCGGCGTGTGGAAGACGCTGTCGTCGTCGTCGTCGTCGTCGTCGTCGTCGTCGTCGTCGTCGTCGTGGTCGTGGGCGTCGTCGTCGTCGTCAGTCTCAAGGAAACTGAGGAACAAAGACAGAGAACGTCGCAGTTAAGTCGACTCCCTTCCCTTGGCCCTTAACCTGCCAGTAGTTGGGGGGGGGGGGTCCTGGCGGGGGGTGGGTGGGTGGGGCCAGAATGCCGCCCCCTTCCACCCCCAAAGGCCCTGCCAGCCGTAAAGCCTTCGCGATGCGATGAGGCACACCCGAAGCCGCGCCCCAAAGGCCCCCGAAAAAGGCCCCTTGGGAGCTCCGCACGGGCGGCTCGGCAGCCCATGCTGCCAGCACCGTGCCGGCACCGCCCGCCCAGGCGAGGCGCCGCCTCTCCTCGACGTCTGGAGGCGGGGCCCCCCTCTCGCGCGGCACGGGCTGAGCCGCTCCGCCGCGGAGGCCGTGGCCAGCGAGTTCGGGGAGGGGGCGAGGAGGGAGGGGAAGCGGTCCTCCCCCTCCCCCACCTCAGGGCTGGGCCTAAACGCTGTCTTTCGTGTTGCTTTCGTTCTGTGCTTCGTTCTGCTCTGTCTGCTTTCCTGTGCCTCCCGCCCTAACACGAAAAACAAAGCACCGCCGAGGTCCGGCACAACAGCGCTTAGGTCCAGCCCTCCCCCGCCTCCTCCGCCCCCGGGTCCCCCACTGCTCCGTCGACGTCGAGAGGCAGGCCTTCCTCGCGCGGCACGGGCTGAGCCGCTCCGCCGCGGACGCCGTGGCAAGCGAGTTCGAGGAGGGGGCGACGAGTAAGGAAAACGGTCCTCCTCCTCCTCCTCCTCCTGCTCCACCTCCTCCTCCTCCTCCTCCTCCCCCTCCTCCTCCTCCTCCCCCACCTCCTCCTCCTCTTCCTGCTCCTCCTCCTCCTCCTGCTACTCCTCGCCCACCTTCTCCGCCCCCGGGTCCCGTTATCGTCTCTGTCTTCCCTGCCAGCAACGTGCTAGACGGCAACGGTGGAAAGTGCAACCGTTGTTCGGGGTCGGCCTCCCAAACCAGCGGTGAGCTCTGGAAGAGCACGCCACGCAGTGCTTGACTCCCCCGAGTGCTGATCTATCTACCGTTCCGTTTGGTAATAAGCTGCGCGTGGCGGGGGGCTGGGTGCACGAATCTCACGCTTTGAATATCTGCGCGAAGCTAGGCTTGTGGAATGTGGGCGGTGCGGATGCCAATCAACAGGATGCGTCCCTCCGCAAGATTTCCGCCCGTGCCACACCAACAAGATATGGTTACTCGACAAGGACCCGCCAGGGCTTGTGACCGAAACTCCTGAGTAAGGCCGCGAAGCCGAACTTTTCAGGTCCCGAGTATACCGTCCCCTTCTCGGTCTAAGGCTCGACTCTCTTTTGCTTCGTGAACAGACGTTTGCAGTTTCCTTCCCCTCCCCCCCCCAGGACCCCCGGCATCGTGATTCGTTCACTGCGTGGATCCCCCAATGTTTGGCCCCTTGTCCCTCGGGCCGATGGTCCTCCCGCTCGCCATCGCTCGGACGTCCATTCCCTGTTTTTTGTTCGGTTTCGTGCGTGGTTTTTTCGCCAAGTGATCAAGGATGCTCCTCGATGGCCCTCGCCGAGGGCAAAATGCACACGTCCGAGCGATGCCAAGCCCGGGCATTCTCTTTACGGCGCGGCGCCTGCCGCGTCGCCGCAGGGGAGCACGTCGGGCGCGCTCTCGCGGCGGCAGGGGTCGTCGGAGGACGTGGCGGCCACCATCTCGAGGTGGAGGACCTGCCCGCTCCCCGTCCTCCACGGGGAGGAGGGAGGAGGGAGGGGGGGGGAGATGGGAGGAGGAGGAGGAGGAGGAGGAGGAGGAGGCTGAAGACCGCCCTGGGGACCTCTGCGCCGTCCGACTGCCGTGATGTCTATATATATATATATATATATATATACACCCATACGGCCACCCTTTTGGTGATGAGGCGGTCAAGAGGGGGAGGGACGAACTAAGGTCTCTCTCACTCGTTCTCTCTATCGATTTCACTACCCATCTCACAATCGATACCTCTGTCGATTCCACCATCGATATCACTAACGATCTCACAAGCAGTCTCCAATATGGATCTCGCTACCGATTTCACTACCAATGTCACTATCGATCTCACTATCGGTCCCGCTGTCGATCCAACTGACGTTCTCACTATCGATATCACTGACTATCGAACTCTTCATCGGCCCCCCCTATCGATATCACCATTGCTCCAACTATAGATCCCGCGACCGACATACCACGGCGGGAGACACCCGGCCACCGCCAGCCAAGCCCGGGGGGGGCGGTCTTTTAACAAAGCGGCGCCATAGCCAAAAGGCGTCGACATCGTCGTCCTTGTCGTCGTCGTCGTCGTCGTCCCGAGGGGGCGCGGCCACGCCATCTGGCGTTCCTCTCGCCCGCCTTCGCAGCTTCGCAACACCCGCAAAGGGCGCGAGCGCGACACCGGAACCGATGTGCCGATGAAGGGACTCTCCGCTTCGCTTCGGTGTCACCCCCTCGCCTCCGATACAGACGTGTGGATACATACACATGAGAGTGGGTGTAGAGAGAAAGAGAGAGAGAGAGTGAGAGAGAGAGGGTGAGAACGATAAATAGAAGGATCTACATGACTATGCAACCTCTGTGTGTGTGTACAGAGGGAGGGAGAGACGAAACAAAGCGAGCTAGAAAACGGGACACATACATATGGAGAGGGAGATCTACGGAGAGTGAGAGAGAGATAGAGAGAGAGAGAGAAACAAAAAAGAGAAAGAGAAATAGAGACTGAGAGAGAGAGAGTGAGAGAGAGACACACATACATAAGAGAAAGAGAGGGCGAGAGAGACAGAGAGGAAGGGAGAGGGAGAGAGAGAGAGAGAGAGAGAGACAAAAAGACAGACAGAGGGAGGCAGAGAGAGAGAGAGAGGAAGAGAGAGCTTGTATATGTAGAGAGAGAGAGAGAGCAGGAAGGAGAGAGAGAGAGAGAGAGAGAAAAAAAAAACAACAACAACAACAACAACACACACGCACTCTGACGGTCGGACCTTGCATGATCATATCTTTGATGTACATGTACAACGCCATCGACCACTCACGATGGTGATGATGCTAGGATGCCAGGATGCAGGGACGCCAGGATGCCAGGGCACTAGGATGCCAGAGTGCCAGGATGCCAGGCGGCTAGGATGCCAGAGGGGGCAAACTCCCAGATACCAGGACGCGAGCGCACAACCAGTCTCAGGAGTGGAATTCTGGGAGCACTAAGAGCTCGAAATGGTTGGCTCCAGAAATTCAAAAATCAGCAGGGACTGAAATTCTGGGCTCACGAGGCGCCCGAAATGGCTTACAGCGGCTCCAGACGTGCAAAAACAGTTCCACCAGTGGAGTTCTGGGAGCACGAAGAGCCCGAAGTGATTCATACTTGGCGCTGGACATGCAAGATCAGTCCTGGGAGTGGAGATCTGGAAACTCGAAGAGCACGACGTGGCCTGCAGCTGTCCCTGGGCAGTCGACATCCGGACTGGGAGTGGTTGTCTGGCGGCTCGATGATCACACAACCTGGAGATTTCATAGGTTCGCCGATTGCCGCCTCGGATTGAAAACACGAAGCGCGGACCCCATAGGGAGGGTGCTCCCGCTGAGAACTTCCTCGCAATTCAATCGTAAACGAGGTCCCCACTCGAGACTTTTCCTCGCTACGGGTGTATGTGTGTGTGTGTGTGTGAGTGCGCAAGGGTGTGATGTGAATGCTTGAGGTGATAGCGGTGATGACGATGACGATGCCGATGACGACGGCGATGATGATGCTGCTGCTGATGATGATGATGATGATGATGCTGATGCTGATGCTGATGCTGATGCTGATGATGATGATGATGCTACTGATGCTGCTGAACGTGATGATGCTGCTGATGATGCTAAAGGAAGAGGATGGTGATACTGAGCGTGATGATGTTGATTATGATGATGAGAATGATGATGAGGATGATGATGATGGTGATGGTGATGATGACGATGATGATGATGATGATGATGATGATGATGATGATGATGACGATGACGATGACGATGACGATGATGCTGATGATGATGATGATGATGAAGATGAGGATGATGATGAGGATGGTGATCGTGATGATGATGGTGATGATGATTACTACGTAGCACCCCGCAGTCGCGGATAAGAGTGAGGGGGCGGCGGGAACGTCGGCAGTCTGCGAGGCTCTGAAAAGCCCGCCGCAGACGCCTACTCTGTACAATTTATGCAGCGAGCCCGCCGCGGGCGCCGATTTCTCGTTCAAGCAATGTGGGTGGGTCGCGGGTTGGTCGCAGGTGGGTCGCGGGTGGGTCGCGGGTGGGTCGCGGGCCCGTTCGCGGGTGGGTCGCGGGTGGGTCGAGGGTGGGTCGCGGGCCGGTTCGCGGGTGGGTCGCGGGTGGGTCGCGGGTCCGTCGCGGAGTGGTCGCGGGCGGGTCGCGGGCGGGCTCGCGGGGTGGGTCGCGGGTGGGTCGCGGGTGGGTCGCGGGTGGGTCGCGGGCAAGTCGCGGGGTGGGTCGCGGGTTGGTGGCGGGTGGGTCGCGGGGTGGGTCGCGGGTGGGTCGCAGGTGGGTCGCGGGTGGGTCGCGGGTGGGTCGCGAGTGGGTCACGGGTGGGTCGCGGGTGGGTCGCGGGGGGGGGACGACGACAAGAAACAAATAAACAAACAAAGAACAGCAACAGCAACAGCAACAGCAACACCAACACCACCACTAACAACTGTAATCACAATCCGCACTGCAGAACCTCACTTCAGCCACGCGCCCAAGGATAGTGAATGACCGTTCGACATCCTCACGCTGATCAAGACACTGATGAAGAGATGATGATGGTGCTGATGATGATGATGCGAAAGACCGTTATGGCGCTGATAATGATGCTGATGCTGATGGCCATGCTGATGTGGTGTGTGTGGCGTTCTTCCTGTGCGGGGGGGGGGCGTCAGAGGCAACTGGGATCAGACTTAGGATGTGATTGACAAGGCCGCCCTTAGGACGTGGGGAATGACGATGACAGTAACGATGGCGATAAGACCAGATGACGATAATGATGAGTGATGGCGAGATGGCGGTGATGATGATGGTCTGCATGTGTGAGTGTGCAGCGTACGCGTTGTTCTGCTGATTCCTGCGCGGAAACACGAGCCCCACTTAAGATAGGGACGGGGCTCTCGCTCCAGACTTCCTCGCAATTCACTCACAGACGAGGCCCCCACTCGAGACTTCCTCAAGCCGAGTGTATGACTCTGCGTGTGTGTGTGTGCGTGTGTGTAAGAGTGCGTGAGGGCACTCGTGAGGTACATGGTTGAGTGCATGAGCGTATGAGTGAGCGAGTTTATGCTGTGTGCGTGTGCATGAAAGCATGAATGCAGTGGCATGTAGTGATGACGGTGCTGTTGCGAGCGCATGAAGTGTGCCTGATAATGGCGAGGAAGACGACTGTAGAAGCACGGCGAGAGGGGAGGAGCGTGAGGAGGAGGAGGAGGAGGTTCCTGCGCGGGTGTCTACTGAAAAAGAGGAGCCCGCGTAGGATGTGGGGAAACTGGAAGAAAGAGAGAGAGAGAGAGAGAAAGCGACACACACACACACACACACACGCACACGCACACGCACACGCACACGCACACGCACACGCACACACGCACACGCACACGCACACGCACACGCGCACACGCACACGCACACGCACACGCACACGCACACGCACACGCACACGCACACGCACACGCACACGCACACGCACACGCACACGCACACGCACACGCACACGCACACGCACACGCACACGCACACGCACACGCACACACATACATACATACATACATACATACATACATACATACATACATACATACATACATACATACATACATACATACATACATACATACATACATACATACATTCTTACATACATACATACATACATACATACATACATACATACATACATACATACACACACATACACACAAACACACACACACACCGACATTGGACGCGTGGTCTGGGCGTCGCGGCGGTCAGTGCCGCGCACACCTATCCCGTGAGGCCGGGGCGGGCGTAACACGAGGGTCCAAACGGGCCCCTCGGCGTGCGGCCGGAAGACACACGACCGCCGCCCCCAAGGCAGGCCTGCCACGAAGCAGCGCGGCGGAGCGTCGGCAACGTCACGAAGAGTTGGGGGGCAAGCTTGGCGCGCGCCGTTGGCACAGGCGCGCGCCACCCCGCTGGGAGAGAAGAGTAACAAACTGCATAAACATAAACTTTTGGCGCTCCGCGCGGATTTCTTGGATCTGCGCTGGACCAACCCTCCCTGGCGCGCGGAGCGCGCCAGAGGCGGCGCCAGGAGCGCTGCCATGGGGGGCCGCAATGCGCATCCAGGGAATTCGCGTGGGGCGGCCAAAGTTTATGCTTCTGGCGTTCCTCTCGATGTGCGGCAAGTCGGTCCTGCGCACCGTCCGGGCTGGCGAGCTCTGCCCGGCACCAGCATTCGAGGGCCTGCGCAGGCGGTCGGCGGCCGGATCGCTGGGGCGGCCGCACTGCCCGCGCTGCGGGGCTGCGGGCGCCGCCCGCGGCGGAGCCCCGAGCGGCGCGCAAGGCAGGGCGGCGGAGGCGCTCTGGCGCAGTGGGCGACCCGGGGCCCGCCGTCGGTCGCTGCATGGACCGCGGCAGGCACTCATCACTCTCGGCATCCCGGCGGCAGCCGGAGAGGAGGGCACGGGGGGACCGCGTCCCCGCCACCCGGCGCCCAAAGAGGACCCGAAGATCTGATCTGCTCCGTCCGGTGGCTCTTCCTTGGACTTCGGCCTCCGTAGTATAAGGCCCGGCCGGGATCGGGCCCGGGAACGATCCAAGATGGAGCCGGGACGGAACACCACCCACGGGAAACGGGTCGGGAGCTCTGCGGGGCCGCGGCTTGTCAGAAGAATATCGGCGGATGTCTGGGCACGCGGCGCCCGCGCCCGGCGGCACCACTGGCGGCCACCTCGCGGGGGTGGTGCCCGGCACGCGCGCGGCTGGGCCCCGCGGGGAGGGGCAGGCGGGGAGGGGCCGTCGGGGGGTGGGCCGGCGGGGTCTAGGCTGACTGCGCCGACCTTGCAGACGTGATGCAGCGGATTCTCGCGTGGATTTCCGTCAAGGCAAAACCCGAAGCGGCGAGCGAAAAGAGGAGTGAATTTCTCGTGCATTTTTCGTCTTCATTCCTGACCACAAAAATCCGCACGAAATTCGCGTCGAAATCTGGAACGAGATTCTCCAGGACACTCTGGGCCCACCCTGTCGTTGTCCGAACGAAGTCCGCTCTGCGATGTTGGCGCCATGACGAGGCAGCCGTAGTGGCAGGCGCAGCCGCGTCCGTGGGAGGGGGGATCCTGCCACCCCGTGGGTCGCCGGGCGCTGCGGAGGCCGACGAAGGCGCGTCGGGCACGGGCACCCAGACGAGGTGCCGGGGCGGGGGCGGGCTCATCGCGTCGTTGTCCATGCCATGCTCATCGCGTCGTTGTCCATGCGTCGGTGCCCCACCATGGTGGGGCTCTGCACCGGGTAATGCTCCAGCGGGCGCCGCGGCACCACGCGGCTCCGCACATGGCTCCAGGCAACCAAACCCGAGGTCCCGGCAGCACACAACAGCATGGCACGAGGCGGCCGATTCCAACCACGCAGACGGCACCACTCAGCATCGCAGCCGAATCCAAGTCCCATCTCCGCGCAGACGCCACAACGGGGGACCCCCTCGGCGAAAACCTGGCCACACACAGGACGCCACGCGCCACACACAGCACGGCACTGGGCCAACCGAGTCCGAGTTCGCGGCGAGGCGGCGGCCCGCGCCACCATAATATGGCACCCCGCCGGATGGTAACGCTCCGTGCAGCCAATTCCATTCTAACACGTGCGCCTCTTGGCCTTGATGAGGTCTGGTGGAACTCTCCAAAGCTCACCGTTGCACTTGCGTCGGGACTGCCCGCGCAACAACACACCGTCACCAAACAACACAACACAAGGCGACCAAATCCAACCTCGTCACCATTCGCATGGAACCACCCGACACGGCACCGAACAACCGAATCCGACCACAACGCTGCACCGCACTGGGCGATCGAATCCGACCTCCTGCCTAAACGGACAGCACGAAACAGCAGGGCGTTGTGCTAACGAGTCCGACCTCACACGGCACTCAAATGCAAGACAATCTGGGCGAACGGATCAGACCTTGTGACCCCCATCATGGCACCATCCGACACTGCACCGCGCGACGTCTGGCGCAATACACACAGGCGCAGACATACGCGCAGACGAATGTGCACGCACTCGCACACGTTTACACCATGAGCACCGACATACACAAACACTTGCGCAACCACACGAGGACATACACGATCACAATCTCACAGACATGAGTCCCCTCCAATCGAGTACTATGGCCGGGTGCAACACATTGTACTTATCGTGGCCGAGCACTACGACAGGATGCACCACCATGCAATCCACAATCAGACAAGATGCGATAATCATGGCGCGAAGAGGTGCGGTAATAATGCTACTGTAGAAGAAGAAAAAACACATAACCATCAACTTTGGGCGCTCCGAGCGGCGCCTCCGGCACCGCGCCAGGGAGGGGGGCCCAGCGCAGTTCCAAGAAATCCTCGCGGAGCGCCAGAAGTTTATGTTTATGTCGTTTCTTGTTCTTCGATGGTGGAGTGCTTTTCTGCCAGCGGCCCCCGCAGCAGGCTCGCGCCGAGCAAGCCCGGCAGCTAGCTGCAGGTCGCTGCAGGGACGAGGTGCCTGCGGACCCAAGCCCGCGCAGACGAGGCGGACTGTCGCGCCTGCGGAGCCGGGATGGTGGCGCAGAGCGAGAGAACTGCCGCGGGGCTGGTCACATGCGCATGCCGGGCGTGCGGGAAGAGGTGCTGTTACAATGCTACTGGTGGGCTGGGCGGCTTTTTTGCCAGCGGCCCCCGCAGCAGACTCGCGCCGAGCGAGCCCGGCAGCTACAGAGGAGGCCCGACCACAAGAAACCTTCCACAAGAAACCCAACCCTGAGACCCCAGGACGTCCATTGATCTTTGGGGTGGGAACGCCGCGCTTTCCATAGCAAAACCATCGAAACCCAAGAAGCCGAGGGCACCCTGGAGGCAAGCAGGGTGTTTCTTGGCATGGGCCCCCACTGCATCTACAGGCCCTTGCAGCACGCAAGGACGAGATGCCTGCGGACCCAAGCCCGCGCAGGCGAGGCGGGCTGTCGCGCCTGCGGGGCTGGGATGGTCTTAAGTCGGGCCTGTCCCTCTACAGGAGGAAGATTCCACATCCCAGAAGAATAGTCTGGGGACGAGTTTTCGACACGTTTTGATTATTCTTTAATATTTGTGACTATTCTTTATTTCTCGTCCAAAATCCGCCTGTAGGAAGACATGCCTGACATAAGGATGGTGGCGCAGAGCGAGAATTGCCGTGGGGCCGGTCACATGCGCATGCCGGGCGTCCCGCGCTGGGGCGACAGCATGATCTCGTAGGACCAAACCGTGGGCTTCTGCTCGTGCAGGGCGATGTACGCATCCGCGAGGTCTGCGGGGTTCTGGAGCATCAGGCCCTCTCCCCCCCACTCCTTCGTGTTGGGGCTCTCGATGACTCCATCGATGACCACGTGTGCCACGTGGACCCCCTTGGACGCATACGCCTGGTACATCGACTGCCCTAGCGAGCGCAAAGCCGTCTTGACGGGCGCCACGCAGCCGAACTTGCTTCCACCGCGCAGCGCCATGGTTGCGCCGCTGAGTAAGATAGAGCCGCGGCTGCGCTCGAGCATCTGTGGCACGACCTCGCGAACGCACCGGACGCAGCCGGTGACGCCGATGTTGAACGCGCCCGTGAGATACTCTGGGTCGATCTCCTGCGGTTCGGGCATGTTGCTGAAGGTGCGCCCGGGCGGAAAACCGGGGGCAGCGTTGAAGACCAAGACCTCGATGTCAGAGGAACCGAGAAAGGCATTACACACACTTTCTCAAAGGTCCGCGCGGATCTCTTGGATCAGCGCCGTACCCCCGCTTTTGGGGGGGCGGCGCCAGAGGCGCCGCTGGAGGGGCCCAACGCCGATCCGAGAGATGTCCGCGCGGACCTCCGAGAAGGGCACGTCCACGCCGCCCTCTGCCCTTCGGGATGTCGCCCAGGGCCCTGGCCGCCTCAAAAGCGCCCCGCACACTGGCGTCGTCGGCCACGTCGCACACGATTGGCGTCGCGGCGCCGCCTTGGCTACGCACCTCTGCGGCCACGGCCTCGGCGACCTCGAGCCGCCTGCCCAGGAGCGCCACGTGGAAGCCCCGGGCTGCGAAGCGCAGGGACAATCGATGGTCCTCAGGACGTGTGCTGGCGCTGAGCCGTGTGCCTGTCCACTGGAGCTCTTCGATACGACGACGCGAGCGGCGTACGCAACAAGGGCCGACAGAGGCCGCGTGCTACCGATGGTCGGAGAAGGGCGAGCTCAGGCACCGGAAAATCCAAATCGGCTCAAAATCGGTCCCCAGACCCTCCCGGGGTGCAAACCAGTCTTCCGAGCTGCGTCCGGCAGTGGCAACGAAGGCCTCCGAAGTCCAACTGCAGGTGTCCCAATGGAGGCCTCCTAGATGGGGTCCGAGTAGATGGGGTCGGGGGATCTCGCCGCATCGCCCATGTATCGGCGATGCGGCGAGATCCCCTGACCTCATCTACTCCGACCCCATCTAGGAGGCCTGGACTCAAGCGGCCCTCCGCCGAGATGGAGCTGACCAGGGTGAGCGCACGTCGGCAGCCACACGCCCCGAGGACCATCGAGACAGGGCGCCGCCGAGGCCCCAGCGGCTGGTCGCCGGCAGCTCCGCGTCTGCCCCGCCCCTGTCGTGCTTGGAGCCGCAACCCACGATGACGGCGACCGGCGCCATCGCCGCGCCGCCGGGGGGGCACGGGCCGCGGAGCGGCGCTCGAGTGAGATCGGGCGAGTCCTCCTACAGGCGGATTTTGGACGAAAAAATAAAGATCTCCAACAGATTCCCAAACAGTCATAATGGTGAAAAATCAGCCCCAAACTATTTCCAAACTATTTTTGAATTTTTCCGCCTGCAGAGGGACACGCCCGACTTCACGCTCGAGGTCCCGGGCGTGGCCGAGGGTGCCTCGGACCGCCCAGACAGCGCTCGGAGCGGAAGGTGCCCTGGTCGGGTCCGGTGATGTAAAGGGCGGGGAGGCCACGCCTCGACCCGCCCGATCCGGGGCAAGAGAGCGGGGCAGGAGCGACCTCCGGGCTCTCGCCGCTCCCCCCCTCTGCGCCCGGGCCCCCCCCGCTGCGATCTGGGCTGGTGCGTCAGGCGCGGACATCACGGAGGCGCTGCACCCACGAACATCGGCAACCTGCCTCTCCTCCCCTCCACGTTCCTCGACTTTTCGGCTCTCCCCTGCCCTCTCCGTTCGCCCCCCGCCCTTCCCTTCCCTCCCCTTCCCTCCGCTCTCCACCCCTCTCCTCTGTCTCCCAGCCCCCCCCCCACTTGCTTCTCGGGGGGGCCGACCTCCCCAGACACTCTTCGTCCTGCCCTTCCTCCCAAGCACCCTCTTCCCATCCCCCCCCCCCCCCCTCCCCCTCTCCCTCTCACATGTCCTCTTCTCCCCCGTTCCCCCCCTCCCCTTCTCCCCCTTCCTCCTATCCCCTCCCGCTCCTCCCGCCCCCCCCGATGGACTCCGCTCCCCTCTCCTCCCCTCTCCTCCCGCTCCTCCTGCTCCTCCCGCCCCCCACCCCCATAGAGGCTCCGATCCCCTCCCGCGCCCGAGAGGTCGAGCAACGCCCGCGATCCTCCGGTCAGGCGCCCCCTTTCTCACTGCACCGACGTTGCAGACGTGCTGCAGCGGATTTGTGCGTGGATTTCTGCCAATGCAGAACTCCCCAAACGGCGAGCGAATTACGAAGTTCATATCACGCCGATTTGTTGCAGCCTGCATTCCTGGCCCAAACAAAACCATGCGAAACTCACTCCGAAATTCGGAGTGAATTTCTCCAGGACGCTCTGTTGTTTCCCCAACGAAATCCACTCTGCGATGATGTTGGCGCCGTGACAGAGGGGGAGGGGCGAGGGCACCGCAGATGTCTTCTGTATCCCGACGACGTCTTCGTTCAACCTGGATCGCCTGCGCAGAGGAACAACGAAAAGAATGAACGCAAGCTCTCGGAGGTCCGCGCGGATTTCATGGATCGGCGGCGGCGCCAGAATCCCCTCCCTGGCGCACGGAGCGCGCCACGTGGGCCAGCGCTAGTCCACGAAATCCGCGCGGAACTCCGAAAGTGTGTGTGTGTGTGTTTACAACCAGCCTCGAGTTTTTCCGCATCCCCATCCCCAGTGCTGGCAAGAGAAAAGGCTAGGACAATATCAGGGATGCGCCCTCAGAAACTGAGGGGATGTGATCTACATCAAGATAAGGTGGTGCCACTCACAAGGGTACATCGCCGTGACCAAAGTACTATGCGGTCTGCATACAATATGACTGACGACTGGCGGAGTAGGTGAAGTGAGTGGAGTAGACATTACTCCGCGCGGACACGCATCCCGCCCCATGCTCATGATGTACTGGGCGGAATTCTGTCAGATCTCTCAAAACATCGATTCATTAAAGGGGGACCCTGATTACTCCGCGGGAGCGCAGGAGCCGCCCGCTCATGTTAGGAATCGTCAGAGGGACATGAGACTCCAGCATCAGACCAGCCCGCACCGCAGCAGTGTCTGGAAATGCTGCACGCTGGCCAGGGTCACCGCCGCGTTTAGCTGCCCCGATACGCAACGCGCAGCCCGTAGCGTGTCGACACGGAGCACAGCACATAGATTGAAAGCGTAGGTCTGGCGCGATACGTTCGCCAACACGTGGGCCAACACGTGCCGAGCCAACACGCAGCGTCCGACCACGGACGTCTTGAGCACGGCACGTGAACAACACAGTAACAAGGGGCAAAAATAAACGCCACACCGGCCCACTGTCCAATCCATTCTGCCCACTTGCCGCGGGGCCTCCCGGCACCAATCTGAAGTCGGTGTCTCCCAGCGCGCCTGGCACGGAAGGGGGGCTGCCTCGGTGCTGCGTTTCCTCTGCGTCGACTGCTAAGCCTGCCCCACGCGAGGCCGTCGTTGAAACCCTCCTTCTCCTCTTCTTCCTTTCGTCGCCCTGGTCGACGCCATTGCTACAAACATCAACGCTGCGACTACAACATTAGAGACATTACCGTCATCGTCGCCCCACTTCATCATTTACAGGAACCGCCATCTTTGAAACGCCTGGATTGGTCGTCTTGCAAATGACATTACCCGACGTGCTCGTCGTAGCTCCTCATCTTCCGAAGGAGGCTGCTTCTCAGAAGGCGCAGGCCTCAATCTGTGGACAAGGCCCGCGCCTTCCCCAGTCCCCCCCCCAAACCCCCCCCCAGACGCGTGGCCGGCACAGGGAGGGAGAGGGCTCTCCTGGCCACGGCGAGCTTCGGCCCCGACTGCGTTCCCCGACCCAGCTCTCGGGAGCGGCCCGTGAGCCAGAGCCCCCCTTTTTAGATGCCTCCTGGGTGGGGTCGGAGTGGATGGGGCCGGAGGATCGCGCCGCATCGCCGATGCATCGGCGATGCATCGGCGATGCAGCGGCGATGCATCGTCGACGTGGGCGATGCATCTGTAACGTCGACGTGAAGCAAATCGGGCTCCACATCGAGCCGCATCGGTGA